GCTGCCGTGCGTGTGCCGCACACAGAGCGCTTGACGTGTGCGTGTTTCTGTTCCGTAGATCGCTCGTACATGAGATTAACAGAAAAGGAAGATGAAACGTTGCCCATAGATGTAAGTTTAAGTGGTTACAGCCTCACTGTAAGGTGCGGTGCTGTGTGCGTTGTTCAGCCTCCCTCAGCTGCTGTGTTGTTTTTAACGTGATGAGCGTGCAAAGCCGGTTTTAAAGTGCACTTTCAGCTGAGCTCCCTCTGTCAAAAAGAACCATGTTTTCTGTCCCGGCTCCCTGCAGTGTGTTCTGTCCGACCCCAGGTCCACACCTCCCTCTCCTGCTTTAGCATTACCCTGAAGCATCTTGTCCAGGAATTCCCTGAACTTAGCCCAGAGAGCTTTTGCCTCCATCCCCTGCCTTGCAGCAAAAACATCCTCCTCCCTCTGGCTTCTGTTGGCTGACACTAGTTTATCCAGCGTGGCTGTGTGCCTGCACAGCCTGCTTCAGGAAGGGTCAGGGGGTTCGTTTTCATTTGCTTTATATTCTTGGGGGTTTAAATCCCATTTCAGTTATTATCTGTCCCGTTTTTGCTGAATCAGAAAGGGAAGGGGATCAAATACCCACAACAACTGGGCATGGCATTAGGCCCGAGCAGCAGCTGCCACCACTGCACAGCATGTGCTGGCGGCCAGCTCGATTCTGACGGAACATTTAGATCCTTAAGTACACAGAAAGAGGGGTTTGTTCTGAGGAGCTCACTGAGGAGCCCTGTGAATCCATTCAGCTCATGCAGTGCAGACCAGTTGTCGGGCAGCTGAAGCTCTTCTTGGCTCTGTCACCGTTTTGCCACGCTAAATAGGTGGGGGGTATCTCGTCTTCCCGTGCCTCAGTTTCCCTGCTGAGAGGCTGCTTGGATTTCCCCACTGATTCCTACTGCTTTCCCTAATACCTGATTCCTACTCAGATTTCCACCTCTGGAAAGTATGGGATGAAAAGCTTGTTTGAAAGAGGAGATATTTGAAGGGGGGGTAAATATTTAATAATCGAATGTAATGTGAGAAAAGAGGCTCTAAAGCGCGTGTTGTGTTGTGCTTCCCTCTGTTACAGATAGTTCTTCAGACTCTGTTAGCCTTTGCAGTTACCTGCTATGGGATAGCACATATCGCAGGAGAGTTTAAAGACATGGATGCCACTTCAGAACTAAAAAATAAGTATGTTTTCATTTCTTCTTTCCCTGAACCACGTGTATCTGCTGCTCTCGGTGCAGACTGAGCACTCAAAGAGCTTTTCTGCTTGGTTCTTCTTAAATGCATGTTGTGAACAGTGACACTGAGAGGAACAGTGACACCCGGGAGAGCCAAATGTGTCTTTAACATCAGAGTTAGATAACCAGGAATGATTAAATCCCCTCCTTGCTTTCCCTCATCCACACTCTTGCTGTGCACAGTTGGGAGAGGGATGAAATACCTGCACGGGAAGTCAGAGCTCAGCAGCCACAAGCTGCTGTCCTGAGGTTGGTCTCAGCCTGTGGGGCAATATGCCTGACTCCCTCTGTTTGCCTTTGCTTCCGAGTTATTTGTATCTCACACTGAACTATTCGAGGCAGAATCTCTGAAAGACTTGAAGAAAATAAGGGATTTTGAGTGGAGACTTTGGAATTGGGTGGGCAGACATGGCCTGTCTGGCTGTTCCCAAGAACACAGGGGAGGATGGAAAGCCAGCAAGTTGCCAGCGTTGTATTTCACAGCATTTACCTAAACCCCATAGCTTCAGGCACAGAACGGGATGGAAAGCTCCCAGTAAGAGCATCAAGGTGTTAACACAAGGGGCAGCTGAACACATTTGGTGCTGCAGGCAGCAGTCCACAAAGCCAGCCCCAGAACCCAAGGAAGGTGAAGCTTGTCCATGGGGTGGACAGCCCCTGCAGTCAGTATTTAGAATAGAACAGTTAGGGCTGGACGGGACCTTAAGATCATCTAGTTCCACCCCAGAACTAGTATTTCATGCTTCCCTTTCTATTTCCTCTGTGCTCTTGTTTAGGAAACATAAAAAGCAACCAAGAGTCTAAAACTAAGCGAGTATTAACATTGACTTTCTACCTTTATTTTGAAGGACATTTGACACATTAAGGAACCATCCATCTTTTTATGTATTTAATCATCGTGGTAGAGTATTGTTCCAGTCCCCAGACACAGCGAATTCCTCTTCAAACCAAGATGCTTTGTCATCCAGCTCAGCACTGAAATTCCGGAAGCTGGAACCTCTGCGCCGCTGAGGCTTTCCCAGATGCTGGTGGTGACCCAGGACACTGAGATGTAATATTCAAGTCGGGGATGTAAACACTTTTTTTAATTTCTGGAGCAGTATTTATATTGATCTTCCAGACTTTATAAAGTATATATATATAAACTAATGACCTTTGTACACTGATTAATGAGAACGACTCCATTGTGAATTGGCAACGCGGTGTAAATCACTCGACAGTTACGCTGTGAAACCCACCTTCACATTGCCCTCTATTAAACCAAGTTGCAGCTGACTTAACTCCAGTTAAAACAAAAAAGCACGCTAGTTTTCACTGCATTTAATGCTCTTTGACAAGAGGGAATTTGCTGGAGTGCTATTTGTTTTCTCTGCTTGCACCACAGTTTGTGGAAGTCCTTCAGAAACGCTGTGCGAACAGCAGGAAAAGGGGCAGCACCTCCTGCTCTGGGAGCCCTGCACGCTGTGGGCAGGGGAAGTCAAAGAGTTTGCTTCATCTTTATTTTTCTACAATGCTGAAAAACAGTTGTGTGAAGGGTTTGGGGGGCTTTTTCCTAGTTTTTCATTATCACTTTCTTTTCTTACGCCCTCCTTCAATTAAGTGTAAACTGGCCTGTGTTGCCCCAGGCTGCCCAGGATGGGGCTGCTCAGTTGGGGGAGGCAGCTCATGTCTGATCACGTAGATAATCTACCACCTATCATGCTATATACAGATAGATATACACAAGATAATCTCGGCTTGGTTGCACACTGTAATGCTCTTCTCTCTGGTGGTGAATACAGGGATGTTTATCAGACAGCCGAGGGCTGTGTTGGCACCAGATACAAGTCCCTTTGAGCTGTTTTTAAGTATCAATAAGAAATACCCATTCTGGCTGTGGTCCAGGGGTAGGGACCAGCAGCCAGGTCTGGTTGTTGGCACTGGTACAGGTAATCAACCAGTACAGCCGCCCCCTTCTCTGCCAACAGAGCCTTTCAATCTGATTTCTTTACCCAGCTGAGCCCTTTGTTGGTTCCTGTCTTGATTCCATGTAGTAGGACAGACAACACAGTCCTTAACTCTTACTGACATCTCAATTCTCACCTCCCCTTAGGGCTGAATCGATGCTACAATCTCTCTTGGTCTGACATTCCACCTACCTGGCATGGCAAAGGGAGGGCAGTGAGAATTGTGCCTGGTCTGAGGCTGTCTCGCTGCTGCCTTTTGTCTAACACCTGGTTTTGCTTCTTAAACCATTAAGAACTGTCAAAGGCAAAAAGCTTAACAAAAACAGTGCATAAACTGAAGCCTCTTGTTCTAGCTCTGCCCGTCCTATGGAGTGGGTGCCCCCGTGCTAGAGTAACGTCTGTAGCTGCTGCTCTACAGTCACTCTTGAGGATCTGGGTTTGGTTAGAAAGGGCTACTCGGCCACCTGAAAGTGTCGGAGCTGCCAGGTTACTTCCTCAAGTGTCCTGGTTGTCACAAACCAGCTGCTCTCACCAAAGGCCTCAAAAATAGCAAGTATCAGGTCAGCTCTGCTGCAGACAGCTCTCTCCTTGGGGAAGAGGGCTGCTTGCTGCTGCTGCTGCGTGGAGGAAGGGGCTGAGCATTGGCCAGGTGACCTTGAGGGGCGCAGAGGAAGGAATTAGCTGAAGGAGAAGCAAGCAGAAGGTCAGGTACCACTGAACCAGGCTGATGCTGCAGCTGAGGTTGGCGGGAACCGTTGGCAGAGGGTCCCTTGGAGCAGGGCTCACACTTCATGTCTAAGAAGCTCCTTTTGTATGACCATAAGGATGGGTGGACCTGCTGCTGTGGGACAAGGCAAGTGGAGAACATCATCCTGCATCCCGCACCTCAGCATGGGTCCTGTTGGCTGCATCGGGTCTCTTCTCGTGACACGTACGTTCCTCTTCAGCAGCAATGGCTCTATCACAAAGCTGTACAAGCTATTTTTTCTTATGGATCTCACAATGCCCAATAAAAATGGATATCCTTGAAGTGGTTGGGAGTTGTGTTTATTTCTGAGCCGCCTGGAGCCTGCTGCAGCAAACCCCTGGTGACTTAGTAGTTACAAGTGACCCCCCAGCACTGACATGAAGCGATTGGGTTCATCACTGTGAGGTAAGATCAGTGAGAAGCAGCTACAAGGAGGGAAGCAAAACATTCAGGAAGGATGAGTTACCAGCCTGGGGACCTGCCTGTCTTTAAGATTCCTATCAACAGTTCTGACATATCTTGCCTTCCATTTAAGCATAGTAAAAGCTTTTCTATCACGTGCTAATCCCCTGCCAACCCACGGGACAGGCTCCTGGGAGGTATTGCAGCAGTTGCTGGGGGAAGCACTCAGCCTACCCACAGGGCTGGAGATAGTTAAACTCTGTGAAACAAGATCACTTTTCACTCCCTGCTCTGCTTTTCCATTGGGGGAGGTTGAAAAGTGAGCAAAGAACTAGAGGAGTTTGCTTAGCTACAGCACCCAAGCATGACTGCACCGTTCACCCTTTGCTCACCGCGCTCTGGCTGCACCCAGCACTGAACAGGAGGGTGTAAACCCCCCCAAAATCAGTGTTTTAGGCAAGGGCATGTTGCCCAGCCCCAGAGCTCCCTTGTGCTCACCGTGCAATGTGCAGGTCTTCAGACGAGCTTCCCTTCCTCAGAAGCAAAACAACAGTTGTGCCAAGAGCGGCTTGGATTAGATTGAAGAGGAAGTTTCCAGCCTCACCCAACAGCATTCACGACCATGGTGGCTCGAACCACTTTGGCTCCAGGCTCTGACGTTTCTACTGTATTAAATAATAGAAAATACACGTACTGATAATTTGCATTTGTTGCCTTAATCTGCATTAGTTTTGCCAGGTCAATGTGTCCCCTTCCCGCTGCTGCCCAGCGCTGGAGTCAAGCTTCTTGGGGAATCCGGTGGCTTATGGCCCCTTCCTGGTGCTCTGGAGCACTAACGCACCCTCCTCCCTGGAGAAAACAGGGAATGGCCATTTGTTTCTAACTCTTTGGCTCCCTCATCACCTGCTTCCCATGCTTCGGGTTCCCTCGGCTTTCACATCTCCACCACCATGTCCTGTGGGGACATCCTCCAACTGGATACAGCCCTCCCCCTTCAAGAGTGGCACCGTTTCTGTTCCTCCTTGGGGGGTGACCTGCAACAAAAGGCAGCAACTTTCCCCCAGACCATTGGGGAAGGCTGAGGCTCTCCCCCAGCACCAGTGGGGAGTCGTCCCCCCCGTCCCTTAGCCCCAAGCCTCAGCAGGGCAGGGAAGCTGCAGCTCGCTCCCTGCCGGCCCTGGCTCACTGCCTTGCGCAGGGGAAGGGTGAGGAAAGGCTATTTTGAATGTTAAACAAGCAACAAAAACCTTTGGCACCAGCTTTCCACGGCCAGCACCGGCAGCGAAGGCAAAGTACTCCTTGGGTTTGGCCTTGAGGTTCACCTTGAAGCTGTAATCACCTGGGGGAGAACCACAGTGAAAGTAAATCTGGTGTTGGAGCAGGTAAAAAGCCTTTTCATCAGCCCCAGGTTGGTCTCAGCGATATAATGTTATTTCAAAACACTTCGGAGTGCAACAAAAGCTACATCCTTAAAATGGCAGCTAATTCACTTTCCTGCGCTGCTAACTTAATCCCTTTTCCAGCCAAGAAAGGCAAACGGGAGTTCACGGAGCAGGGAGGCAGCCGGGAGCAGGAACACAGCCCCAGGGCGCTCTGGCAGGGGCCCAGGCTGTGCTGTGTCATGGATTACAGGCTGTTTTGCAAGGAAAGGAGAGAGAAAACGATTAAAAAGGTGACATCTGGTTTATCAAACCAATGGCTCATCCTATGCTGGTGATTCCGGGGCACCCACAGACCCCCCCCCAGGTGGACATGTCTGTTGACCCCCAGTTCATATCCCCAGCGTATCGGCGGTGCCCTCCATGCCCAGGCTGGTGCTGGATGAACCAGTTTCCCCGGGATTTGCCGGAGGCACTTCACTTGGGACTTGGACACAAAAGAAAAGGGAAAGAAAAAATTCCCCCTCCTTCCCCAAGGTGCTTCTGGAGTGTGTTTAGAGCAGCCCAGGGCCAGCCACACAAGGTCACAGGATGCAGGAAGACAACCATGTGCTGGGCTGCACCCCAGAGCGTGAGCAGCAGCTCAGGGAGGGGATCCGGCCCCTCTGCTGCGCTCTGGGGACACCTTAGAGCAGCTTCAGTGCCTAAAGGGGCTCCAGGAGACCTGGAGAGGGGCTTTGGACAAGGGATGGAGGGACAGGACAAGGGGAATCGC